ATAGATTGGGAGGGCCTTTCATAATTGCCGCTGGTCTTGGGTTCCAAGATTGGCTAACTCGGTAGCGGACCTTCTGGCTTTGCGGCGAAGTACGGAAGTATGTGATCATATTTAGGTCAATAGACCCCCATTTTCCCCAGTTCATGTTTTGTGTAATGACGGTCTTCTCTGCCCCTAGATGTATATGGTAGTGTGAGGAGGGACGCTTTAGAATTAGATGCGGCGTCGTGGTTTCTGTGCCTCCTTGTACTACTCTTTTCTATCTAGTAGTTGTTTGTGAATGTTTACCTCAAGGTAGGCCTTCCTGTAAAACTTTGGCATCTTTGCCCGGATAATGTTATATCCTGTTACCAGAAAATAAAAATATAAAAAAAATATAAAAAAAGATCCAACGGTCAACTAATTCCAAGTTAATAAATGGGGAATAACAATTAGGCATAGTTAATCATTTAATGTAATACAACTATTCTAAGTTGCAATTAACTGCATCTGCCAACGAAATATAAAGACATTAATTTTGACAAATGACAAACGTATCAACTACATATTAACAAATTTAAGCTTGCAACATCAACAATATCACTGGCATGTCCGCATTGGGAATTACCGTAATACGATTAACAACAACGTAAATAAACCTTAAAGGTTATATATTAATGTGAATTTGTAATGTTAAGGGAATGTGGTGGTAGTGAACAGGCTGTTTAGTGACCCATACGACGGTGACGACAGAGTCCTATCCCAAACAATGCATAGAGACATGCATAACCCCTGAGCCCCTCCTCCCTTCCTGCTGCAATCCCGTCCCGTTCCTACGTACACTTTATTCCCTTCCAAGCCAAAATCACATGCGCCTACTTACACCTCCAACTGTTATTACGAGATACCCATTGCGCCAGGCCCCCCCACCCACCCCCCATCTAAAAACCTTGTCCCTCATCCATCGGCTAATGCCCTAACACCATGTGATCTACTTTTTCTTTTAACTCATCAACCCCCATTTCCTAATTTCAAAAATTGTTGGGTTTTAATTACATTTTACTAGGCCAGTCAGCACACGTACTATGATAAAGTGAGAGACAAACTTTTATAGTGTTTAGGCTTTAACGATATTATGAGATTTAAGATTTTTCTTACGCCATTAAGAAACATGAGATTATAAGAAAATTTAAGCACCTTTGAGTGCAAGACAAGTTTACAAATAATTCATTCACTCTAGGAGTGTAAAATGCCAGCGTTATACAAGATTTACTTTCATATATCGTTGTACACAATAATGTCATACTAGTTTGATCCTGTCTACCAGTACACTTTCAGTTCAACATAATTAGGATTGATGAAGCTTCAACATAATTAGCATGAAAGCTAAAGTCAAGTTTTTGAGTTTACGATACAAAAGTAAGTGGTCTATCATTTATGATACAAGAGACTCTCATGATGATTGGTAGGTTCTACAATTTAACTAGTAACTAGAACAAAAAAAAAAAATGGTTTGAAGTGGGAGAAAGTTAAAAGTAAACAAAGAAGGAAAAGATGGCTAACAGAATGATACGGTTGAACATAGATCCATCCGTACTACCACTGCATGTAAATTTGTATGAATCAGAATCGGGCGCTGGTGAGGGTGATGAGGAATGGATGCTCTCGGATCCTCTCTCGTGCACCTGACTTCATGCATCATATGACGGTATGAGTGACACTGCAAAAATTCACTGATGATTTGGAACCTAGTTCATGTGGGTCCCTTGAATTATCACAATCTTACAACGATAACAGAACCATCTTATAATTCCCTCTGCCCTTCCTTGTCCTCTCACCTCCGTGCTGCACGATCTGCACACACGCTTGGCCGGATGGATCGATCCCACTACTCAGCTGCCTTGGCTACATGCTTGCTTCCTACTGTTCATTACTACAAGTCTACCAATATCAAAGAACTTACATATGATCCCACAAGTGCGGTATTTCAAGTTACTCGAAGCATTGTCATGCGAAGAAGTTAAAACACACATGAACATAGCATGAGTTTCGGTTAAGATCTTAACAGACATCTAGTAAGTCATGGTTGTGATAATTACATTTTCATACTTTAATTGTCGATGCATCTCACGTGTTGGTAGGTTATTTTTTCTACGGATATGCACCATTTGTTATAATATTACATAGCTTATACATGATTTAATGAAAAGGAGAAAGAATCACAACCATAAACTCAAATGATCTGAATTTGAATTTATACAGATGAGGAAGTGGGTCGTGAAAATTGTTCCCATCATATACGTTAGGGTGGCACAGACGGAACCTAAAACTCAAAGTGGTGGCACAGACTTCAGCTTTTATGTGTGTATGTTCTGGCCCCATTAGTAGCAGAGAAACAGATAGATGAATGGTACAACTCAATGACCAAATGGCAGCAGTGAATAGTATATTAGAAAGAGACCTAGCTCCACCTTCTACTGTTTGCCTAGTAATGCAAGCTGCAAAATCAAAATTTGAACATTTCAACCTTATCATCATGTGCATATGTATGCAACGCACATTGAACTATCTATGTGGCTGAGAGCTTCCGCAGCCCAGACACAACAACGATGCGGTAGAGGCTAGAGCCCCACCACCTTGCTGAGAATTGGCCTTATCACGAGCAATGCCATACTAGTTAGGCTTAGAGCTGCCTTTATAGTCCCAATCGCAGTCACCATCTTACAGGTCATGCGCAAATGCAAATCATACATTCTGCTGAAAGCTAACACTTCAAAATTTTCCTTTGTTCTTTGTCCAATGCAAAATCAAATGTCTATATAGAACTGATAGATAGTAAGTTTGCACGATAAACTGATACTGGAATTTGAAATTAGGCCCAAGTCGTCTTGTGGGGTCATTCTTATACTGATTAGGGTTGATTGCTCATGGAGAACACTTTTCTTTAATTTTTTTTAGCTAAAGTATGTTGAGGACATTATAAATCTATGATGTGAAAGATGTGACTTGAAGAAATTGTCAAGAAGCATTTTTGCTTCTTCCACTAAATTGCATGCTTCGACTCTATTATTTTTCTTTTCTTATTAGTTATTATGTTTTCAAAAATTATTGTATAGTATTGAAACACGTTTAAATATGAGATATGACATGTTTTAGAAATACTATTGTACAATTATAAAACATTTTCATGTCGTAGTATCAATAAGGATTGCTATTTGAACTCTAACAAAATTCTTATCACTTTTTTATTATCATCTCAATTGTTGTAAGATGATCATTTGTTCTGTAATGTTATGGTATTTACATCATTGTTAAGGTAAAAAGAGGTATTCTGTGAACTTTTGTTCTTGTTCAAAAACATTACCAGAAATTTCGAAGAAATCTACACCGTACAATGTTGTTAGTTAACACGCCCACTGTCGAACCCTAGTTTTGAATCCCACAATCCGAGGGTAATGAGGTAGATAAACCACCACGGGGATAACTAGTTGGGTGGAATCCTATACGAACACCCCAACCCCCACTTGCGCCGTGCACCAACAAAAGAAAACAAACTGGAATATCAAACTGATGTAACGGCGGGTGAGGGCTGGAGGGGTCTGATTATTTTGTAAACTAATAATAATAATAATTTAGGGTTCATGGGTCCATTTGGAGGAGAGCGGTGGGGTCCACAAGGCCAGCACAACCAACCCCCCACCACCACCACTTTAACCGTTTTAACATCATCCCTGACTGACTGAGCGGGCAGCTAGCTGACCGTAGATCATGTGAATTGTGAGCATTTTATAATATCCTCCCCATCCACCCGTATGTATAAAACAAAATGACATATCGATTATAAAGTATTAAAATATATTGAAAATATGAGAATAATCATATAATGAGTGTTCATACAGGTATTCAACAACTCTTACAATTTATTAAAAAATAAAATTCAAAATAAAAGTTATCAATTTTCTATGTAAGTAAGATTCGTGACCCTTAGAGTCACGACCTAGAAGGGTCTAGGTGGGCGCTTAGGTAGATTTAGACGTCTTTTTTTAATTTTTAAATATCTAGGAATTAATTAGGATGGTGACCAGCTGATAATTATATTTCATTCTCTAGCATATATAGCTAACTTTGGATGGTCAATTATGAAAAGATATAATTTTGTTTACTAATATGAATCACCATTTATTTTGTCTATCGTAGGCAGGGATTTATGGAAATAAATAACCGCTGAATTGGCTAACTTGACTTTCTCATGTTCTCTTGGTCCAGATTATTTTGATCAAATTCATGACTGTTGCTGGCATCTCTTAATGGCGGGACACTGTTAGTGTTCCATTGTAATTTTTCTTTTTTGGGCATTTAGCCCCGTTGTCAACCTAAAAAACACTGGTAAAAACTAAAAACTAATGAGCCAAAAGAAAATTTGAGCTTGATCTCTAAATTCTAAATTAGTTTATCATTTGACATAGTGCCACACAAATTTCTTCTTTCTCAACTTTTTAAAGAAGGTTCTGAATTTAAATCTAGCATACTTAGATACGAAATAGAAGTCGAGAACCACATAGAATATTGTTACAATGTTATTACCACGCCTACAATGACCTCATGAACAGTTCAACTAAATACACTAAATCTAAAATATGGAAAATTACATTATCATTAGCGATGATTACATGTATTGTTTACCCTTAATAATTAGAAAAGAAAAACAAACATAAGGATTGGAGGACCATAAACAACCCATACCTTTAAATCCCAATAAAATAAAAAGAGATCTTGATCACATGGAAGCATGTGATGATGAGGATGGGAATGGCTTTGAAATATTCATTCTCCAGCTCTTTCTTTTTCCTTAACTATATATGCACACGTATATATTTAATTTCCAGTAAATTTTCTTCATTTCTTTTTTATGTAATTAGATTTCAATTTTTGATTTCTCTTCGAACGTGTAATATAGAAAATAATATATATAGTACCCCACAACGCACTCAATTGGAAAGAAAGGCATTTTGTGGGTACAATGTCTTATGGTTAACCTTACTCACCCCACTCTTTATTTTTCCACCCTCCCTCTCTATAAAGCTGGTAGACAGATTATATGTTGTAGAGTGGTCCTTGAGAGACCTTTGTATGAAGGGTATGGCCTTTTTCCCAACCTCTCTCTCTCTCTCTCTCTCTCTCTCTCTCTCTCTCTCTCTCTTATTACTGTATACTGGCTAGGTAGAAACTAGAAAGGCACACAAGAAGGGATGTTCTGGCAGGCCAAAGGATTCCTCTTTGGTTTGGAGCTGAGATCTAAAGAGACTGTAATTACAAGTCCTCGCCATGCTTTTCCACAGCTTTCTTGAACTTCAATTCTCTGCTGTCTAAATCTCTTTCAGGATTAGCACCATGGAAGCTCAAGAAAGCTGTGGGAGACCATGGCAATTCTGGACTTAACCATTTCAACTTCCCCAAAATGTTTGCAGACAACATGAAAAATGATTTCTACTTTTTCACCACAGATCCTGGTAATTCCCTCATTTTTCTTCCATAATTCGAACCCATTTCGTCAAAATCTTTTCTTTCAGAATTATTTCATAATTATATGGGACCGTAATTTTTCTCTTATAATTTGAATTTATTTGTATCAAATGTGGTTCTTTAATATGTATGTATACACATGGGGCCGCTCTCATGAAACTGTCTTTGCATTTTGTCTGAAAAATTATGTAATGAATGGACTCTGATACTTCTGAGTTACAATGTGGGTTATAATTTACAAAAATTTTACACTACACGTGTGTTTATGCTTGCACCTGTGTATCAGATGACTAGATTTTGACATTTTCAATCTTGCCGTTCAAGCACCAGTATACTGTAGGAAAACCCTACAATTTGAATTCCCTTCTCCTTGAGTTTGGAGTTAGAATTATGTGTATTAGGTAAGAGGGTACTTGCTGCTGAAGACAAACCCCATGAGCTATGCTACTGTAGTTGTACAGATGAACTACAGATGAAGATGAGATTCAGTGAATTTTTGTGCCAGTATTTTTTAATCTATAACTCTACTGGCACACTGTTTGAGCCATGCAGAATCGTAATTTTAAAATGTATTTTCTTCATGTTGTCTGATACATTTAGGTGAAATTTCAATTTAATTTTTAAAAATATTCCCCTGCTGATTCATTCAATCAAGATGGTGAAAAAAATGAGTTTGTGCTTCAGAGAAGATTCCCCTACCCTTTCCCTTTTATCAACTATGATGACACTTCCCTTCCTGTTCATGCAGTTAGCCTTTTGATTTTCCTTCCACATCTTCTCCTACATTTCTGTGAAAAAGGATAAACCTTGTCCCTATCAGTAATCAATTTTATCTCTCTCTCTCTCTCTCTCTCTCTCTCTCCTTTATGTTTGTACAACTGAATAGGGTTGTCATTGGCATTACAACTACACAATTATGCTTCCCTTGATCCAAGACTCAAATTAAAAAGTAAACAAGAAGTATCGATGAAAAAACCAGACTGAAACTTTAATTGTTTTCTCTTCATCATAACTAGATGCACCGCATGAAACTTTCGAAATTTCATAAACGTTTCTGCAATTATACATGAGCTTTTTCGGTCTCCAGTGATTATCCACGCTACACGAGCAAGCTAGAAGAAACAAAGCAATTTTGGCAGTCCTGTAATTGTGATTGGAATGGTTGTTGAAGACCTACTTATATGTGTATCGATTCAGTATTTTTTTACAATGAGTTTGTTTATCTACCTGGTATATGTACGGGGGATTTTCTAGTATGCATTAGTGTATAACATCTACCGACACCCAGTGACTGTAGGATCCTTGGATGGACATCTAACACCCTATTTAACTGGTGTTTGCCAATTGTCATACACCAGAGCATAGTAGAATTGTTTTTTCAATAGTTCACAATATTCCAGTAAGTTGATCATCTAGTTAGCTGGCTTTAACTTTTGTCATCAACACATTACACTGGATTTGGTAAAAACCCATTGTTCCTTTTCTCTGTCACATTGCTTCATATGTACTGTTTCAGCAAAGTATAGTTTCATTGGCAAAGCTTGGTAACATCTTCAATTATAAATTGAATATGGCCGATTCAGCAACTATATGATATTTGGAAAATTGAAATCGATGGTAATGATGGATGCAATATATATTAATAGCATATTGTGACCAATTTATAACAGCCAAATGATGACTTGCATTCAAGTCTCACACATGCTCACAGGTACCACGCTTTAACTACTTCATTACAACTTAACATATTGTTACTCTCACATTTACTGAATTCAGCATTGATAATCTTTGAAATAGAATCTGAAAACCGAATAGTTCGGATTGGTTTACACACAGAAAATTATTAGAAGTCCTTAAATTTCTAAAATAAGAACACCATTATTAACCAGAGTAGTGCAGTGGAAAATGGAAGTGCAATGAATGTCTTAACAAGGCCTCTTGCTAACTAGCTAGCCAGGACCATGTCCACGCAAATCACTTCAGAAGAGGCCAGAACAATTAAGGAGGCATGCATTGGCTCTTCTGGAGTAGAATTAAATTAACAAGGCCGCACTAATTTCTGTGCCTAGTTATCAGGAACTGGGGCACCATAGATCCCTTTCCTTCCATAGGGTAGGGCCGGGGATTCAAACTTTATCGAAGCCTCTTCCGACTTAAGAAGAAACCTAACCCTAGACTAAGAATTAGGGGGAATTCGAACTTTGTTGGAACTGCTTTCAACGTAAAAAGAACTGTAAACCTAGACTAAGAGCTAGTTGGTCAACATATAGCTCATTTATGAAAATAATCGAGTTACTCAAATCAAAACTTAAACCTGAACGGAATTAAAATAGTGGATGCTTGGGGAAGTGACCTAGATGCAGTTGAGATGAAAGTCCAAATGTATTCAATCAACTTAGGCTATAAAGCCAGTTATCACTTTTTTACTGGTATCCTGACTTATCTTTCAAGTTTTTCAGACCAGATAAACCACTGCACTGAGTCATATACATTGAGCATAAAAAATGTCCTATATCTTCAGATTGAGTGAACGTGAGATTCTCTCGCGCAATCAAAAAATACGGACCAGTTGCAGCCAGTTATCACAGTAGATTTAAGGATCATTGTACATTATTTGCAAGTTAGTCTGAAATAAAAGGGTATTTATACCATATAATCCAAATTGCCACTAGGATGGACACATGAGGCATCTGCTAAAGCAAACACAAGACAAAATGTTAGAATCCAAAAAAGAGCATGAGTTGACGTTTTTAAAAGTTGCACGAGTCATGGCCTTCTCTTCGAGTGAAAGAAGACCATCTACAGCATCTCAAGACATATATATATATATATATATATATATATTTATATAGGGTTATATATACAGTTGAATATATCGATACACTAGCATCAACAAGCAATGGAAGAATATGTAGTGAAATGGTTTAGCAGACTGATACTACCTAGTGTTGATCAGTGGCAGAAAAATCCCGTTTAAAATGGCAATGGCTAATTAATCTCTTAAGGAAAGTAATGAAGAAAGCCTGTGTGAAGAAACGATGGCTGAAACATATATATTTTCAAACCATGACGGCCAACGGAAAGAGATACGGCATAGAGAAGCAATACCTTTGCCACCGTGTGTTGGGATTTGACCGATCGACCAATCAAGCAATATTATCAGGTTGAAGTGATTGTCTTTTCATATCAAGTGAAAGTGATCAGCAACGATAAATAGCAACTTTCTTGACCATTATATATAGGTACTACTTAAGGTAGGTCGTACCTTCTCATGATGATCAATCTCAGCATATATACCAGAGGTTCACCAACAACTATACCATGATAGCATCTAAAGTGGTACAAATATATAGGCACTAACGGTAATAATTCATAAACACACAAATATAAAAAAAAAAAAAATATATATATATATATATATATAGACACACACACACACACACACACACACTCCTTTTATATAAGCAACATTCCATATTAACTATTTCTAAACTACCTAAAAGAGAATCAAACTCAGACATAGAGTGTAAAACACTATTCTAATAATTTAATTATATCTAGATTTGCAAAAGCACATATATAAATACACAGTAAAACCAAATGATAAAGAAAACTGCACTCTAGATTGGGCATAAAGCAATGATATATTAAAACGTTTTACAGCAAATGAAAGGTGAGCAATTCTATTGCATGTTAGATTAGTGGGTGACATTAAGACATGAAAAGTAGTTGGATCATGACCCGTGCAGCGCCTTTAGTCACTCTTTTAATTTATGGTGGCAAAAGGGTTGGTCTATTAATTGGATGTATCCAAATCCCCGTGAGAGCACCCATCTGTAAATCTAACCAATTCTTGCATAGATGACAGTTAAAAATATTCTCGGTTTGGATCTTAGTTACGACCATGAAAGATTGAAAAAAAGCTTTAGTTGTCTCTGATATGTAATAATCCAAAAGAAAAGAGAAAGGAGCCAAACAAGACCAGCACACACATGTCCTTGCCAGTGAAAAATATGGATGACATTTTTTTACACACTTCGTTTACATTACCATAGTTGGCAAAACATAACCCTAATTTCTTCAGCAAGGTTTCGGTTCCATGAACTTCATTAATTTTCTCCTCTGAACCATTAAACAATCAAATAAGGGAATGATTTCTGCACACATCTTTTTTTTATTTCTTCACACCACTATTTAAGTGTGCAAAGTGAGAAAATGGGTGAGTCGGAATCATTTCTCGTCAAATTATTTGCTCCAAAGCTTAGCTTGAATGAATAAGCTAAACAGTAATGAAGCACGAGTTGAAAAGATGAAAAAGGCAACAGAGACCTTTGTGGTCCAGTGGACATTCAATAAACCAACTGAAATTGTTGTCCTAGAACAAATTTGAGTAGTACTTAGTCCTTGCTAAGCCCTAAAATAAGTTATATCTATGTGATAAGCAAAACCAATAAAAGAAAGACTAGCTAGATGTTTAGCTAAAACATCAAGGTCCACGTACTTTAATTACACGCACAAGGAATTGAAATACTTTTATGTAGCAAGGGCCGGCAAGGCAGATGAGAAACGGATGCAAAGTAATGACCCTGAAAATGATTCAAACTTTTTTTTTTCTCGCCCTGCACGTTAGGGACGTGCAAAATAAGGAAGGGAGTGTGCGATCATCATTTCCCAAGAATTAATCGCGGTCACATATATGAATTATGAGCATGAGCTAAGATAGATTTTGACCCCTATGGAATCTGAGAATCGCATGTACATGTATGCATATAAAATGACTGCCACTCTATCTGAACTCTCTCTCTGCCACTTTATCAACCGACACTAGGGTATAGAGTTACAGAGCCATAAGCATGTAGGATAATTTAGCACGTTAATGTTTGAAATTATCAAATCTTAATTAGCATTTGAATCGAATCCAAAGGAGATATATCGCCTTCTGCCAAAAAAAAAAAAGGAGATGTATTGCCTGCAATACATGGAACCAAGACATATGCAAACAATATAAAGCATGATTAACTAAACAGTTAACTAAGTCCACTGATAATTAAACAATATAATTAAAAGACAAGAATCTAATCTTGCTTGCAGGAGTTAATATAAAATATATCAATCATTAAGCAGAATATAAAGTACAGATGGATCAGAGATCGAACTACATATCAAGAATGTTCTCTGAAGTCTCGATCCGAGAGAGGGGGAGTTAACAGGTGAAGATTTCTCCTCAAAGAACAGCATTGTAATTTGTCACCGCTGAAATAACTCACAGAGGAGATCAATCAAGCACTAGGGGTAATAAACATTTCGGAAATTTTGTATAGGCAAAACTCGTGATTGTGTTCGATTTAATTCATCAGAAATATATCAGATCCCCAGGTAAGGACAGAAATATATCAGATCCCCAGGTAATCATACATGAAAAACTCCAAAAACTTCGAATAAAATTAGGGTTGAAATCAATTTCCATTGTAGCATGGTTTACAAAACCATCACCTACTTCAAAACATCACAGACTGGTTCTTTATATGAGAATCGAGCAATAAATCAACTTAAAATCATGTTTAAATAATCAATCACTTGTGCGTGGATAGCATAAAAATCATGTTGGAATAAAATCATGAAAGATTGAAAAATTTCTTCTGGTATTTGAGCAATAAATAAACTTGAAATGATGATGAAAAATCACTCACTTATCAGTGAGTCAAACGGTGCAAAATTAGGTATAGATGTTTAGGGTTCATATAATATCTAAGAGAAGAGACACGATCAAGAAAATATACCAAGATATGAGGGACAATGGAGATCCATTATGTGAGCGAATTTTATTGAGCCTATCTGTATCTTCCCACAGCTTTATTGAACCGCAAACCAAGTTAAGGGGAATAGAGAGACTGAGTCGACTCACTCCAAAGATCGGTCGATCTCGCCATAGATGGATGCAGTTCAAGAAAGCTGTGGAAGAATACAAAGAGGATCATCATCTTCTATCCATTTTAGAGAAAGAAAGAGAGGGAAACGCTAAGGCTATGGATATCTAGAGAGAGAGATAAGATGGCTACGAAGCTTCGGCCAATCAGAGAACGACAGCAAGAGCAGAACCCCAAAAGGGGAGATGCAGAAGCAGCAGCAGAAAGGGTTAGCCTGTTAGGCAGAGGAGGAGGAGGAGGAGGCGGAGAAGGTGGAGGTGGGGGTGGAGGTGTAGGTTTAGGAGAAGGGGAGGTTGGTATTTATAGTAAAAACTCGATGGTGTCTCTTTTTTTGTATTAATTTTTTTTTAATTGTATTTTTATATTTTTTACCATCAATCCCGAGAAGAATATTGGGCCTGAGATTTTACAGAGTCACAGATTACACTGTACTGACTCCACCCTTTTATTTCGAACCCTATTAAAAGCTGGCTACGTTCATCAATAGAGGCCCTGTTTATTAAGGGGAAAAAAAAAAGAGCTAATGATATGATTTGAAATTTTTAAATTTTAAGATAAAATAAAAGTTAAAATGAATAATATCATAATAATTTTTTAATGTAAAAATATGATTTTTCGTTAAAATAAACAATAACATAAGTTTTTCGTTAAAATTCCTAAAAAAAAGAGGTACTCCCTTTATTTAATAACAGCTAATTAAGTGAAAAACCAGTTCTTAATAAAAATACGTGCGGTTGGATGCAAGTTGGCGGATCGGACGGTGGCTGGTTACCCTAGTGGAGGCAGGCTATTGGGACCCCTTTCCAGATTTGTCTCTTTTATATATTGGTGGAAAGGTTTTGTTTGCCTGACTCGCGGTAAAGCATGTGGGTTGCACTTAGCAAGTTTTGACCCTAAACCCTAATCAAAATAAACTCCACAATTATTTTTTTAAGGAAGTAACTATTTCATTAATCAAATAAAATAAGAAACGAATACAAGTTCATGATTACAAATGCAACATAAAGATAATACAAAACTTACTCCATATAATAATACTTAACCAAATAAAGTACGCTCACGACGTCAAAATTTTGCATCACTTTCTAATGAACATACAAAAGATGTAGCATCTTCGGCAATGAAGGCATGCTATGAGACATCATGAAGATGTCCTCATTGTCCTTTGCCAGACAAACAAACAACGAAACCACAACTTAAACAAAACAAAAACACAACACATAGGTATGATTCCTCAATCATTGGAAACCGGCCATACCTAACCAACATAAAAGATAAGCTCACAAGACCTAAGCTATATGAGCCAGACCTAACACCTTCAAAACACATGAGCTAAATATCGCACCATCGCATGAAGATTTTGCAGCATCAAGAAAACATGATTGTGAGTCCCTCAAACCACTACAACGACCCCAACAAATGAAAGACCATGCCTTTCATGATCTTGCAATCATCTACAAAAAAAACCCTGCTATTAGTGACTTTCAACAAACCTTGAGCTTCCTCTACATAATCATTGCCAAGCACACAAAGCACAAATCACCATCTTAGACTTGAACAACAATTGTCGTTTTAAGATCTGGGGTTGAGTAGTAAGTCATAACTGCTACAAAAGCTCTCCTCCTTAGAAAGAGATTGACCACAACCGCAAAGACTGTTTTGGACAAAGCGATCACTACAAAAAAAACATGAAAAGAAAAGAAGGAAGGGATAAATAAGGATTACCGCCGACCTTAGAGGCAAAACTGGAGTCGCCGATGGTAGTTTTTTTTTTTTTTTCTCCTCGTGCGCCTAGGGTTTGTTGGGGCGCTTTAGGGATTTAAAAATTCTATTTTGTTTCAAACCCAAAAAAAAAGGGAGTTTTAATGAAAAGCCCACGGTATTATTCACTTTGATGAAAAACCACATTTTTACACTAAAAAGTCAATCCTTTCGCTTTACCCTTTATTTTGTCCTTATCATTAAAACTCAAAGTTTTCAAGCCCTTTTCATTAGTTTTCCTTAAAAAAAAAAATCTATTTTTTTTCTTTATTCCCTTACTTTCCCCCTTGTTTCATTTGCGGAAAGGTATTGAATCTATTGATCAGAAAGTAACTTCTACGTTTTTTTTCCTGGAAGTAAAATGGAAGGTAGATTTCTCGTGTTTGGGTAATGCTGGGAAAGTAAGGGGTGAATGTTGTTTTTTTATTTATTTCCTTTTTCATGTTTGATTTATCCATGAATTAGAAACAAATTCTGCTTAATTTCCCAATTATATATTTTTCAACAAATTCTGCCCATGGTGTTTCAATGAAAAAGGAAAATCAAACCCAAACTTGTCGGAGAGTTTCGCTTTCTCGCTTATTTTCCTATAAGGGGGTGAGAAAACCGCTCAAAATTGAATTTACTAAACAATGGTTTGTATCTCCGTTTGACTTTGGCTCATGAGGCGGAGGTTTCGGGTATATAATATAACGATAATGAATCGATTACAAATCCTGGAATGATGGCTTGACTCTATCCATAAACTCGAAGAGTGGAGGGCAACACAAGTTAACTAAAAAACATAGACTTTTCAACCCAAAGTGTAGAGTTTGATTCCTTCTGCCACTAATATCGCTTGTATAAGAACAAAACGTGAACTAACTATGTGGTAATTCTTTTTGAAAAAGCCTATCTTATAAAAACAAAACAATATATAACAATAATTCTCAAAATCTCAAAGCTATTTGGGGGAGGAGCCTCTTGATCCAATTTGAATATTTAAACAACTGACACCTACACTATAGTACAACTGTTCCAATGTGGATGTGGTCCAACGAGTATATATACCCTTCTTTTGCTTAAACGATCTATTTATGCACATAAATAAATCATCAAGTGATTATTCTGATAAAAATTCAAATGAACATAACAAAATAAATATATAAATTAAAATGTTAATGAGATTCTTTAAAAAATAGAACTCTCTGACACTTCATGTTTTGAGCACAGTAGTTTACAATGTTGGTACAAAAATTGACGTTAAACTATAAAATGAGAGATAGTTCATGAAGAACCTCTATTTTGAGATAATTCCTCTATAAATTATAGTAAAAATGAAATTGCAGTCGAAATTAAAAATAAAAGAAGTGTGGAAAAATTAAAATTGGGAGGAGTCACATGGCGGCATGTTGGGGCGACCCCACCCGTGGGAAGGTGCGAGGGGGTATGTGACAGTAGTACACTCCCGTTTTTCACGGAACGGAGGTCGCTTTGTTGGGTTGTTTTGGCAGAACACGATGCGTCGATCCCAAACTCGACTCTGTGGAAGCTCCTCAACCTTAACAATGGGTTGGTGCGCAGGTTAAGGTACTATCATGCACACACCCCTTGTCCCGAAAGCTTCTTATATGACATGAATACATCATTATCGTAGTGATACAAATTCTATATATAAATAAATTTGTGTATATCATCATGGTATCATAGAAACCTTCTTCCTTTTCCTCTTTCACATTGGATTTATGATTTGTGATCACTAATCATGGGATTGAGGTCGTATCCGGATCTCATACTCTAGAACCTTCAAATCTAGCAATTCAGATCATTCAAGAGTGAGAGGAAGATATCTGAACATTAAAAAAAGATTGTGTGTGAGGTAAGCAAGAGGAATAGAGTAATAGAGACCGCATTTAAATTGAACAGTCTACGAACTCCGGAGTGTGAGATCTTGAGAGGATCTCAATCCTGATCAAGGATGCTATATTTTGTGATTATGCTATGGGGTCCTCCAACGTGCATGTTTAAGTATTTAAAACCGTTTTTAAAGTTAAAAACACAAATCATAAGCGATTGATAGAAGAAAAAGAAAACGATTTTAAAGTTATAAGCAGCTGGCACTCACTGATTAATTCTTTCTTAATCATCTTTTCACCGAATTTAATCTATCACCATTCATCACTTGTCATTTGTCAGTTCTTTTATTTATTTATTTATTTTTTTGGGTAAACCATTTGTCAATTCTTTTGATGTTGGTCTTCAACCACCTGTCCTTCTCCCACTATTTGATCCACTTTTGCTGCATCATTCACCACCCTGGGCCTGCACAGATATTTCGAACAATTGGGATTGGGATTGGAATTGATTAAGATAATATAAAATTAATTTGTATTTCTTTTGTCCAACCATTTTATTGTTCTTATATTTTTTTTTCTGAATAAACGATATTGTCTGCACTAATGGGATAGAAGAGTAAGCTAAGCTTCACAATGAGATAGCAATAATGTGATTCAAATTTACCATTTGGTGAGAATTAAACATAAAACCTCTCATTTACCAATAAATAAAAATACCATTAGACTATAATACTAAGTAATATTGTTCTTGTTTTTTTCGTTTAATACGATAATACGTATCATGTTTTGTACAGTTAACATGGGATACATAGCATAGTGTTGTAGAGTAACATTATCTTACTAGAGGAATTTGACATGTTATTTACTAAAGCCACTGCCAATCTAATCAACAAATTTGAACGAAAACCACAAGTTATCAATTAGGCTTATCATGAGTATTTTGCTTTTTGGCATCTTTAGGGAAAAATCTTAGGAAAACTAATGAAAATGACTTGAAAACTTTGAGTTTTAACGATAATTAAGGACAAAATATAGGATAAAGTGAATAGTACCAGCATTGACTTTTTAGTGTAAAAATTTGTTTTTTCATTAAAGTGAATAGTACCAGGAGCTTTTTGTTAAAGTTTTCAAAAATCTTTGCTTTTTATCAATTAGGCTTATCATTGCACACTACCCTAAGAGATTGTTTAGTGAAATGCACAAGGGTTCGGAACTCTCAATTCGAGTTTGAACTTGCACGAATGCATTTTTTAAGGTCATCGGCCATATTTTGACGTATCGTTTGACATAGAGGCCAAAAGTACATTGTCATCTCATATATATAGAGACTGCATATATAGGGAGGGGGAGTAGTCTGCAACTAATGTATGGTGATCGATATACCTCTTGTATTTAAATAAATACGTAAAACCTCAACACACGCGTGATTATAACAAGTAGTGTCGCTTCACTTATTACTAATTGATTTTAACATGAAAACTCAATTTATTTCATGATATCAAAACAATTTTTTACCCACTTGAGAACCCCACGACCATACATGTTTCGCGTCGCCATCCACTTTACGTAATATGTGTTTACATATTTATATTTGGCAAGTGTTGCTACAGCCTATACATGAGGAGGTGTTTGTTGCATGGACCTTTACTTTTAACCTGAAAATATTTGAAATATGTGTGTGGGATCGACTAAATAGATGTTGACGAGTGATGCATGGTTGGTCTTTGTGTTTTGCATATCTGTCGGGAATAATGCATAATATTTGGTAAAGTTAAAAACCTGAATTTATAGAACATAGGGAAACTTGGTGTTTCACCCTAAAAGCTAGTACGTTGAGCAGAATGTGAAAATGGTGATGGCGCTAAGGAACCAGATAAAAAGGCAGTCAGGTTTTGTGTTGTGCACGTGTAGAAGGCCAACGACAATTGCATGGAAATGCATGAATTCATGTGTCAGTATATCATTGACACCAGCTACCAACACGCATGCCCAACACGATTGAAGGGGTTTGTCGAGTTGATTTAACCCACGACTTTGTCTTTTGCCTTCCCAATTAGCATTTAGGCAGCCACCTCCACCATCTCTTTTGCTCTTTGCTTATGTTTTTTCCTTTTTTTTTTTTTTTTTTTTTTCTATTGTTATTAGATTTACTTGTGTGAGAGATGCTCTATGCAGACAATCTTATTAAACATCTTCTTTAGTTTTATGTTCTAAGAACATCATGTGTGTTTTTAAAGACCTTATTACAAGATTCTACAACTAGTGGTGGAGCTATTATAGGGTTATTGATCGTCCTTGATCCTAACAACTTAAAAAATTCTATGTATATTTGTTGTGTATTGTATTTGACTCATATATAAATAGCTAAGGCAAACTAAATTATAACTTCATCCTCCTAGTTCTTTTATTTCTTCTAGCATTTGTCTCTATTTTCTCTCTTCTTGTGTGCGACTCTATTGTGTGAACCTGTACTTGATGAAATACCTTAGTTGACAAGCCTTGCCAGTCTTCAGCATTACTCCACAATATATATCCTGCATGCACCCTCGACAAGCCTCTACAAATAATAGTAGTTGTCGACATATATTAGCATAAGCTTTCAGCATATGTTGGCAAGAATTGGCGAGTGTCTACTAGATGCTGACGAAATGACCCAATGGAAATGGTGCACTCATGCATCTTAATTATTTGTAGGAGATATATTCACCAAGAATTCAAAAATCCCAAACACTTCCAAGTTCCTACACAACAAGAAAATAAAGATCAAAACATAAGTACATACGAGACGTAACGGAATTCAGCATATATATATGATCTGACAGTCCTTTACTAATTAGCTAGGTTTATTAGGTACGTAGCTAGGTTAACTTGTACTGTAGAACTGAGCAAATTAAGTAATGGGGGTGAGTGTTTCATTGGATTGTGTACTATAATTTTAGCTCGAATAAATTGTATTGTGATCTGAAACAGAGGAAGAAGACGAAATCTAAAGTTAAATTAAAAAACTGGAGAGAGTCAAGTGGCCTAAATAGGGATCCTTTTAATCGTGTTGTTACTGATAGACATGACAGTAACAATATTCACCTGGTTTGAAAAGTTTGTTTCCTTTTACTTGGGAATCATGCTAGCATGAAATTGTTAAGTGTTAGAGCTTTCCAATAGTTAATTTAACCCTAACAATTACGATCCTAACTAGTCCTAACTTTGATTACTAAAATAAGTCTTCCATTGACTTCTCAACCTAATTAGGTTAATTAAGGATTAGCTCTACGCCCGACCCTAGCTACATGCCTCAAAGGCTCAAACCCTAACACACACACACACACACACACCACCATATTGTCAATTCTAAAGACTTTTAAATCCTAGAATTTGCACTACGGAAGGCTGTCATTGGGCCACAGATCAGGCGTTTCCAATGTTTAGGTAGAGTGTAGTTTTCACGTACACTTATTAAACTCAATCTTTACTTTGTTTTTTTTACTTATATTGGAGGGTTCGAGACTGCCTTTCTTTTCTTTCTCCAAGTTAATGTCTCCATCTAAATGTACAATGATAAAAAAGCTAGCTACCCCTACCGGTGTACCAACTGTCAATTTGAGAATCTGCATAATCATCCCGTAGATTTTAACAAACGATTAGCTCATTGTACGAAAAAGATTGATCATTCAATCTTGAGTTGTACATGTAAAGTAGCACTATGAATGCTTGTCCTTCATCATGGAACATAGTGATTAGGACATATATAGCATTTCCTTTACCTTTTGTGTTGTTGTTGCACTTATACCATTGAGTTAATTTCAGAAATTTAAGTGCATCACGTGACGATGTTGTTTAGAAAATGGAATAAATTTAAAGAAATGATTTCTACAGACCTATAAATAAAAATTATCTATTAATTCTTCTTTAATTTGTGGAATCGAAATGCCATATATAAACATGAATGTGCATTAATAAAAAAAGTGTGTCAAAATCGGATTTCGCTAAATTATTCTTCGTCTGCAGACTACGATGGTGTTTATTTCTGCATATGCAGACTGCCATTAATTATATGAGACTCTCGTCAATGCAGTGTTTAACGGAAGTAGGGTATGCATGCAAAATTGCATGGACTTTCCTATTTGTTGTTCAACTACTTAACTTAGCAGTTCTTTGGGAGATATTCATTGTGTTTGAAATATAGGTTGGTACACCGTATATCATTATTTAAATAGAGGGACATTTTAAAAATAAAACTTTCCTCTACTTAATAACCACATGTGAACATACCATCTAATGTTTCAGGCACACAGAAAAATTATCATTTTTTAAGCCAAATTTTGGAAATGTATATTAGTAGTACAAGAATCTTGCTAAAATCACTCTGTCGATGGTTAATTTTACAAATTCTAAGGATTTGGTCAAATTCATGACCAATTGACATTGACGAGATACAATGAACGATTTGAAAAAGAAAGGGATGCATTTGGATATGGTAAGTCTTTTCGATTTCTTCGTTCTCCCATTTTGTTAAATAAACATATTACAAAAGTAATGACTTAAGTCCGTCGACATCATGGCCGACCAGATTTAATTAAAAAGTTATCCAGTCAATTCCGTTTCTTGACAGACGTATAAGTTCATCCGTCATGTCTCATTATATAGGTAGATGAATACTTGAAAAAAAAAAAAAAAAAAATTATCCTCCCTTGTATAATAACATATGATGTACCGATTTATATGTTTCTTGACATATTGGTCTAATTAGTTATCCGGTTTATTACAACTAAGACCAATCCACTATATTAAGTCACATTAAAGATAGGAAAATGTAATGTTGTTTCTGTTTATTTACGTGCTTTTTGTTCATCTCACATTTGCTCCGGGTGAAGTTTGTTTTCTCAAATGTTGTTCGTTTGATGCTGAATACATGGTTTCATTCCATGACACAATGGTCACTTCTATTTGATTCAAATCAGCAGCCATAACCCTAACCCAACACGAAGATAAGAAAAACCCTAACCCAACACGAAGACAAGAAAAACCCTAACCCTAGCCCAACATGAAGACAAGAATCCAACTCCATACGAAAACAATGAACTGTAGTTGTGTTTTAGGGTTTCAATATATTTTATGCATTCAGCATTGATCTACGTAGTACATTTGCAAGATTCAGCTTTTTTATTAGGTAGTCCAAACATGGCGTGTTCTTCCTAAACATGATAGTTTACATTTTACAGATCATATTGGAAACTATGGTGTCATGAACCATGAAGAGAAGGAGGGAACCTTAGAGCCATAATTTTTCTAGCCACATTGTTCATCCCTGCAAGTTTTTTTTGTTCCAACTGTATATGTAACGCAATCACATTACATATAAACATATGTGACTTTCAATTGACACGGAACCATGTTGGTGAGATTATTTCTCTTAATTCTTACTCAATGTATTTGATTTAAAGGCTAAAAAGACCAAGTGGCTGGAGAAAATAAGAGTGCAAAAATCACTATCCTTATTCACTCTTCTACAAATATCTACACAATTCTTAAGTAACGTTTACGTTCATGCCACTAACAGAAAGGGGGTGTGATATCCACACATCCTTTTTACTTCTCACATAACTCTTATTAATTTATGTTCTTTAATCTTCTTCAATTCATTTAATCCGACAACTGCAAATTAAGAGAGTGTGTGAGAAGTAAAAATAGATATGTGGACAGCACACCCCACATAATTAAAACACACACAAATTTATAACATTGAATAAAGTGGCTAAAACCGCTGTCCATGACAGATAACAAAACCAAATACATGTATAGTTCCAATTCTTCATTTTTCTTGCAGTATGCCTATAAACCTTTCAACAGAAACATGTATTGTAACATGGTCACCCAAATTACATGCCCAAATGCCCACCCAAAAGGCCATGAGAGAGATTAAGAGAAACAAGACCCTCCCCCAACAAACCCTAACCCAACGGTTGGCTCAAAGTCTCAGTCCTTTCCCCAAAATGGTCAAAACAAAGCATCTCCCAAAATGGCAACTTAGTCATGGACACATCATTGGGCTCAAAAATTACACCATAACAAAAAACAAAACAAAAAGAGCAAAAATGAAAAGAAAAAATGAAACCACGTGTGGGCCCCCACCCGGATAAATAGTCCAACATATTCGGAGTCCAAAATTAAAAATAAAAAAAATATTATTGGACCATCTGAAACCCAAAAATAATTTGCCCTATTTTTTCAATCTGACCCCTCAAAACCAAAAAATCTTATCCCCTTTACCCTTAACGAGTCCCAAAGTCCTCTTTTAGGTCCAATTAGCTTCTCGGGTTCCAAAAGCCCAATCTCGCTTCCCCCCTTTCTCTCTCTCTCTTCCTCCCCTTCTCCCTCTCGCTGGAAAAACCCTAGATCTCGCCACCGCCGGAGACTCGAAGCTCGGCCCTTCGAGCTTCAATCCGCCTCGCCGATCTCCTCCTCCGAAACCCCTGTGGTAAATTTCCGAACTTTACAACTATTTGTTTTTTCTCTCTCTCTTTCTGAGATTTCGAAAGGTTTCAGTTTTTCGCGTTCTTAAGCTTGTGTCTCCGAAAGGATCTTAATTTTGTGTTTAATTTGGTTTTTGCGTTGTGACTTCTAAATTTTGTTGTTCAATTTGGATTTTTGTGTTGTGAATTTTGAATCTGTAGCCTGATTATGCTGTGATAAACTTTAATTTCGTCTGTTAATGTTGGGTTTGAGTTAATTTCGAACCCTTCGTCTTCGTTCTTAAATTTTTGAGTTCGATCTGTTAAATATATGTGATTACTGGGTTTTTTTTTTCCGATCTGGGCTGCTGTTTTTAAAAACGTTTAAGTCCAAAGCTCGATCAGACGACGGAAAATTGTAGGGATCTGGGTTTGTTTTTGGAAATTTTGTTACTGGTTTTAATTTTAGCCCGTTTCTGGGTTTTCTTTTGTTTTCCGAGTTTTAATCCGGTGGACTTTGATTATCCCTGACCCATCTGGGATCCATCGTACTTGTTAGAGCTCATCTTCTGTTAGAAGATGAGGGATGGGTTTTTAATCCGATGGACTGTAATCCGAGGGACTGCATGTGATCTGGGCAGGTCAATGTCTGTTTGGGTTGACTTTTTAAGTTCATGTTTCTGTACGGCCCATTTGGGTCTGGTTGGGCCAGTTTTTTAGGAATATTAAGATATTATGATATATTTATTTTAAAATGTTTAATGCGATCCCTACCAAAAAAAAAAAAAAAAATTTGAAAAAGGTAATAAAACCTAAGGAATAGTTCGTAATTGAATAAGCTGGATACTTAGATATTAAATCTTGGATTATCATTTTTTCGTTTTTCGTGTTTTGGTATTACTTCGTTTTTCAGTTTCTTGGATTAGTTTTTGCCTAATGAGAATCGAATTTCTCCTTTCGGTCGAAAAATAAATGTGTAATTGGTATATTTATGCTAGTTTGTGTTTTTGTTGTTGGGATGGTAGGGTGTTTGGAACTTTGGACCATGAAATTTGTTCCTGCTAATGCACAAAACTTGACTTGACTTAATATTTAGCTGGTTCTGTATGATGGGAATGAGTATGATGTTGTGACATATTGCGGTCATTACCATTACAGTGGTGAAGGAATGCGCGTCAACAACGTCATTAGACCTTTCTGTAACTAAATACAATTGAAAGAATCAGAGCATTTTCTTTCTGTCTTTCACAGTACATGAAGGTTTCCTATATTGTATGTCTACTGTTCTGTAGTAGTCTTATAACATTGAAGTGCGGGTTTGTTTCGCCCTTTGTTCATTCCATGTTTAATGAGGTTCTCTGAATGCAAGAAGCTGTTGTTATGTTGCTTCTGTGTATTTACATGATTTTTGGTTCAGGCTCAGATTCTGTGGCAAAGTTTTTAACATGTATTCCGTTATCACTTTGCTCTTAGTTTCAACATCTACTTTCTATTTTCTTAAAGGTTGTCCTTGTTTGCTGAATGCAGGATTTTACTTCCCAAAGACAACATGGCAACCCCTGCTGAAGAGACAATTGCCGCTCCTATTCAAGACAAAATGGCCACCCCCGTGGAAGAGCCGACGGCCACCCCCATGGAAGAGCCGACGGCCACCCCCATGGAAGAGCCGACGGCCACCCCTGTCGAAGAGCCGACGGCCACCCCTGTCAAAGAGCCGACGGCCACCCCTGTTGAAGAGCCGACGGCCACCCCCGTTGAAGAGCCGACGGCCACCCCCGTTGAAGAGCCCATGGCCACCTCCGTTGAAGAGCCCATGGCCACCCCTGTTGAAGAGCACACGGTCGCCCTTATTGAAGAGCACACGGCCGCCCCAGCTGAAGAGCACACGGCTGCTCCCATTGAGCACACGGCTGCTCCCATTGAAGAGCACACGGCCGCCCCCGTTGAAGAGCACACGGTTGTACCCGTTGAAGAGCACACAGTCGCCCCCGTTGAAGAGCACACAGCCACCCCTGTTGAAGAGCAGATGGTCGCCCTGGTTGAAGAGCCGATGTCCACACCCGTTGAAGAGGCGATGGCTACTCACTATGAAGACACGATGGCTGCCCACTTTGAAGATTCGATGGCTGCCCACTTTGAAGAGCCAATGACCACTCCTATTAACCACAAGAGGGCCACACCTGATGAAGACATGATGGAAACACCTGATGAAGAAAAGATGCTGACACTGACTCCCTATGAAAACAATGAGGTGGAAAATACAGAAACACAGCCTAACAAGCGCAGGAAAAAGAAGTCAATTGTCTGGGAGCATTTCACCATAGAGAACGTGAGTCCTGGATGTAGGAGGGCATGCTGCAAGCAGTGCAAGCAAAGTTTTGCTTACAGTACGGGTTCAAAAGTAGCGGGTACCAGCCACCTCAAACGCCACATTGCAAAGGGGACTTGCCCAGCACTTCTTCGTAACCAGAACAACAATCAGTCTTCCCCATATACCCCAGCGACAAGGGGTGGCAGCTCTTCCAATCCACCAAAAAGGCGTTACCGGACTCCTAACACACCCCAAATTATATATGATCCAGACCGTTGTCGCCATGAGATTGCAAGGATGATCATCATGCATGACTACCCCCTGCATATGGTTGAGCATCCTGGGTTTGTAGCTTTTGCACAGAATCTTAACCCACGGTTCAACATGGTGAGCTTCAATACTGTTCAAGGAGATTGCGTTGCAACTTACCTAACAGAAAAGCAAAGTGTCACCAGGTTTATTGAGGGCATACCTGGACGTGTATGCCTTACTTTGGACATGTGGACTTCCTCTCAGAGCGTGGGTTATGTGTTTGTTACTGGGCACTTCATTGATGCTGACTGGAAGTTGCACAGGCGGCTGCTCAATGTAGTGATGGAACCATATCCAGACTCTGATTCTGCTCTTAGTCATGCTGTTGCTGTTTGCCTTCATGATTGGAGTTTGGAAAACAAGTTGTTTTCAGTCACTTATGATCAGCCACTGAGTGAGACTGCTCTTGAAAATTTAAGGCCTCTTCTTTCAAATAAGAACCCACTTATCCTCAATGGTCAACTATTGGTTGGGCATTGCATTGCCCGTACTTTGAGCAGCATTGCAAAAGAAGTGTTGGTGGCAGGAAGTGATGTGGTCAATAAAGTACGGGATAGTGTAAAGTATGTGAAGACATCAGAGTCCCATGAAGAAAAGTTTCTGGAGCTTAAGAGTCAGCTCCAAGTCCCAAGTGAAAGGAGCCTATCAATTGATGACCAAACTAAATGGAACACAACGTATCAAATGCTGGTGGCCTGTTATGAGTTAAAGGAAGTGTTTTCTTGCTTGGATACATCTGATCCTGATTACAAACAAGCCCCGTCAATGGAAGACTGGAAGCACGTTGAGACTATCTGCACATTTTTGAAACTTATCTTTGATGCAGCCAACATCCTTACCACTACGACTAACCCAACTCCAGTTACTTTCTTCCATGAAGTGTGGAGGATTCAGACAGATCTGACTAAGACGGTTGCAAGTGAGGATCCCTTCATTAGCAGCCTAACTAAGACAATGCAAGAAAGGATTGAAAAATACTGGAAGAATTGTAGCCTGGCTTTGGCGACAGCAGTAGTTATGGATCCCAGGTTCAAGATGAAGCTTGTTGAGTTCAGTTTCAACAAAGTTTATGGCGAAGAAGCTCCAACGCATATCAAGGTTGTTGATGACGGAATTCATGAGCTCTTTCATGAATATTTGACACTGCCTTTGCCTCTCACACCAACTTATGCAGACGAAGGGAATAACTACATTAAGACAGAGGATTCCCAAGGCGGAGCTAATCTGACAGACAACGGACTCACGGACTTTGACATGTACATCATGGAGACAACCAGCCAACAGATGAAGTCGGAGCTGGATCAGTATTTGGACGAGTCTCTGCTTCCCCGAGTTCATGACTTTGATGTATTAGGCTGGTGGAAACTGAACAAGATGAAGTACCCGACGCTTTCAAAGATGGCTCGTGACATTTTGTCAATTCCGGTATCTACAGTTTCTTCCGACTCTGTCTTTGATACAACGGTCAAGGAGATGGATCAGTACAGGACTTCCCTACGACCAGAGACGGTGGAAGCCCTCATATGTGCCAAGGACTGGATGCAGTATGGATCAGCCGACGCGTCCACTGCACTTGTCAGAATGGAATATTAGATCGTAGGTCTCTTCCACCGTCACGCGTGATGGACGGGAAGTTGGCCGCCGGGAAGATGTATGATGGTAGGTGTTTGTATCATTTAACCTAGTTTATTTCTACCAGTAGGAGTTTACCTTTTGTATTATTTGAAGACGTTGAATGCTTGGACATGAATTTTTAGCCTTAATTTATGGTAGTCTTAAAATTATGATGATTTACATGAAGTTTGGGATATGGATGGAGCATTATATGCTTTGTTTCCGAGTTATTTTTGCTCGAAAAATACTTGGTTCCTTACATGTAAGGCGGCTATTCTTCTTCTCGCACAAATTAGATTTTGAAGTATGTGCAAAAAAAATATTTCAAAATTTTCATTTCATAGATTTAACGGGAGTTTGGTACATATCTATCCGTCATTGGCAGTTAAGGAAGAACCTTCTTTACGTCGAAAACCTAATGGCTTGTTTGTTACTTTTAAAATGATTGAAACCACTTTTAGAAAAAATATTTTTGGGTTCTAAAATCATTTGAAGTGCTTCTTATAAAAAAACACATAACCAAATATTTGTTCCATTTTAACAAAAAAGGCTTTCAATCATTTAACAGTACTCTCAAACGAGCCCTAGGTTGTGTGATTTTTTTTTTTTTTTTTGGGTCGTTCACCAATTTATAGTGTTCAGCCTCACCACTCCATTATTTGTCGGAGAACGAATTTGATTTAGGTAAATAATTATCGCACTCCATGTTATTCATCTACTGCTTTCTTGCTTTCTAGAGCATTGATCGAACAAATCAAATAAGAATCAAAACACTGACACAAAGAGTAGTGCAAAACGAAAAACGAGTCTGCGAATATCATTTTTGCTCGTGTCGGTGATTCAATTGGGAGTTTAAGCTCATAATTTGTTCACAAATGGAATTATATTGACGCATTTATTCATTAGTGTTACAAGACTGGTTCGCATGATCACATAATATGTAATAAATTTATTTAAATATCCTCTCTCTCAACAATGTGAAGAAAACCAAAAACACGTATGCTACACTAAGTGCATAATACAATTGATTATAAATCTTTTTTCAAGTTTTCAACTAATTGTATTAATCCACTTTGTGTAACGGACCATGTTCCTGCACCCTAAAAATTATCTCCAAGAATTGCACAAAGTGGAAATTCAAAGGCTAAAGGCCCAACCCGCACCACTCCGACTAATGCCCAGCCCTACATGACAATAAACTCGTTTCATGTAATTCGAAATAGGAAATTCAATTCTTAAGCCCTACTACACCTAAACAACGACGTTGGTACATAAACACAAGATCAAAGGAACATATTACCAATTTAACTTAAATTTTTCCCCTTGGCGCGCTCTGTGTGACTCAAGCATATTCACAAGAATCTCGCAGAAGTTGCATTATCGTCATAACTATGCAGCTGTGGGAGAATGGCTATTTGAAGGCTTTCCCGATTTTTCCTAAAGGCGTGTGATATGCTTGGAAATATAAGACATAAAGCTAAGATAAGATATAAAGCTAAGTTTCTCATATATTTTTACATAATTTTTCAAAAGATAAATCGACTCCAAAACTGGCATGCAAGTCAGATGACTTCTTTCGTAGTTTGTTTTATTAATTGTTTAGGAGTTTGTTTTGTGGAAAAATTAAGATCTAGTACTTAGTCACCAATTTCATAGACTGAAACCTTTTTGGGTTTTAGTTTTTTTTTTTTTATCAAAATCTTTTGACTTGAGACTTTGTACATCTCAGCATTATACTAATAACACACTTCCATGTCATCTTTTTTATTTTTTTTTACAACAAATTTTAATTTATAATTTCTCCCACATTGATTATCACATTCAAAAGGTTGAATAACATTTGTAGCTGAAAATCTCAAAATTCTCTCACTCAAATTTATGTTTATATTCAAATTCAACATTATTACATTGAATATTTATCTCTAAAATTAAATTTTGCCAAAAAAAATTTCAAACTTATTTTTCCTCCATGACCATTATATTGCAAAATTCTAACAAATGACCATTATATTGCAAAACCATAACCAATGGCCATTATATTGCTATGAACGCAATTTTAATTTCATTGGATATATATGATTTTAATGTTGAAATTGTACATGGGTACATTCTTATGAATTACTATAATTGTACATGGGTACATTCTTATGGGAACATTTATCTTTTATCATGACATTTTATCTTATTAATTTATAACTACTATTTTCATTCAATAAAAAAAAAACAATTCTTTTCATAATTTATTTTCCACATTTTAATCACCAATTTTTCATTGGTTTAAGGTTTTCTAAGGGTGGATTTTGTTGTTTGATCCCATAAAGGTTAAAGTTCAAATCTTATGGGATTTTATATTCCGTAAAATGTGGTAGTTCATTTATTTAATTGCTTTAAATGTTCCGCAAAAAAAAAAAAAAAAAAAAGAAAAAAAAAAGAAAGCTTTAAAGGATGTCTTATGGGATTTCAAATCTTTGAGCGTATTTTATTCTAGGTTCAGATTTCTAATGATTGATCACCTTTCATCTAGATATTTAGATAAATTTATGAGGATGATCAATCAATTAGGTTTACTAGAATTAAGATTAAGAATAGTCGACAAACTAGCGAGGATGACCAATATCAGGCTAGTCCTACTTGGTTGACATGATTCTTCTACACTTAACAGGTTTTTTTGTGTTTAATTTGTATGCCTAACCAATATGATATAATTATCACATAGAGATAGTTGATGTCTGACCACAACTTAATTCATACCTTAGAAAGAATAATCTTTAACATTGGCATGGTAATTGGATAGTAGTTGGCTCTTAGAGATGTAAATAGGATTTTTATTGGTGAATTCATAACCTTAGGTTTTTTTGTGTCGTATGTTTATTTTAATTAATTGTCTTTTCTTTTTTCTTATTAATTTTAGTCTTACTCAGTTACTCAATTATTCAATTCAAATTATCCTTTGTTGTTTAATTAAGTCTAGCGTGATTAGTTGGTTAAATTGGTGTTAAAGCATCCCTGTGGGATCGACCTTGTATTTGCACATCTTACTACAATTGATTCGTGCTCTTGCGAAATTTAATTTCGTTTAAATTAATCTATTATTTAGGTTAGTTTAAATTTACATCAAGTTGTTGGCGCTGTTGTCGGAAATTGCCTCTTAATCTTAATTGTGCTTTACTTAATTTTATTTTTCCGTTTTCCATTTTTGTTTGTGTAGTTCTTTTTTTTTTTTTTCCTTCATTCATTCTTTCAATTTTCTGTTTTATTAAAAAAAAAAAAAAACACGGTAGTCTTCTTTTTTGTCCAATTCAATTTTTAATTGAAGTCCCTTGGTTATTTGGAGTCTTTATGTTTGTGTTGAACTTCGTGAGTTATTAGGAGTAGTAGTCTTTGGTTTAATTTCTCTTTTCAGTCAAGTAGTTCTCTTTTGTTGCTACTTATTACTACGGTTTGATGATATTTCTCTTCATTTGTAAGTGATAGGCAGAAATGTAATGCTCCAAATGTTCCTGTAAATTCTTGTTCGAATCTCATAGAAGACAAATTCGATACTAGATTAAGTTGCTTAACCAAACTCACCCTCATGTTCCCTTTTTTTACTATTTTCAATTTTCTTTTTGTAGGCGCATATGGCTTGGAAACAATGCCAAAGGAAAATTGACCTTCTAATTCTCAATTCACAGAGTTTATACAAGAAGCCACATTAGTGGAACCCAATAAACCCTACATGGGAAGAATCTTTTGCATTGATGATTCAAGCTAATATGCAGTCAGCAAACAACCACTCAACTTTTGCAAAAGCTCACTCAAGGGCATCAAATTCTTCCGCAAGGGAAGCAAGCAAATAATCAAGCAATTGCAATTTTGTTAAAACAAGTTGGTCAAATTGAGTGGCAAAAGATATATTGAGTGCCATCTCCAGTACAATATGTAGAAGGGTATAAGTACTAAATAACCTTTGTAGATGAATTTTCCAGATTCATGTGGATATTTCCTATGATCAATAAATCAGATGGTTGTTCAATTTTTGTGAAGTTCGTTGCATTTGTGTTTAATCAGTTTAATGCTTCAATTAAATGCTTTCAATCTGATGGAGGAGATGAGTATATGAGTAAAGCATTTAAGGAGTTTTTAGCAAGCAAGGGCATTTTACACATGGTTTCACGTCCATACACTCCTCAATAGAATGGTATTGCTAAAAGGAGACATCACCATTTAGTGGAAACTGCTATAACTTTACTAACAGAAACAAACTTGCCACAAATGTTTTGGTATCATGCTTGTTCCCATGCAGTTCTACTAATTAATAGAATGCCATCTAAGAATTTGGAGTTTAAATCTCCATATCAGCTTTTGTTTGGGAAAGTTCCAGAGATTCATAATTTTAAGGTGTTTGGGACTGCCATTTATCCCTTGATGAGACCATATGCTGTTAACAAGCTCCAAGCTTGATCTTCTTAGTGTGTATTTCTTGGCTATGCCTGGGGTATAAAGGAGCAGTATGCTATGATTTGAAGAATCGAAGGTTGATTTTGTCAAGACATATAATACACAATGAAGAAGTGTTTCCATATAAAACTGAACTGTCTCAAGAGTATAATAGTTCTGAGCAATCCAAGAGGGTAAGAGATGATGTGGTTGTGGTTCAAATGCCTGTCCCTCCAACAAATAGTCAAGTGGTGTCTCCATTCAAGAATTACAAGCAGATTCATTATTAGAGAATGCCTCTCATCAGCAAGCTTGGGGTAGTAATCAAATTAAGAAAGATAGCGCCAACACCACATCCGATATATGGGGTCTAAGGGACCTCATATCTTGGGGTCCTGCCCATGCGAACTCCCCAACCTGGTGCAATAGCAGTAGTCGACTCAAAAGGTGCCCATCCCCATGCTCCTGCTCGTGGAATTCTTGGACCTCGCTGGGATTTGCGCCCCCAAACTGGTAGAATAGCGCGTGGCGCTGCTGCAGCGGCAGCAACTGGAGGAGCACCATGGAGTGGAGGCACGACAGCTGCTGCATCCGCCTGGGGTGATGCACCAGCCGGAGGAGAAGCAGCTGCGGAAGGGTCACGAACTATACCATCGACCAACTCTGGCTGGTCTCTCAGGAAGAGATCATCCCTGTGCCTGGAATGATTGCCTTCCACCACAAAACCCTGAAAAGTTAGAAAACTGAAGTTTCATTT